TTTTTTTTTTTTTAGCCAAGCAGGAGCTGTGATGGTAGAGAATCTCAAGTTGTCTGATGGAAAAGAGGGAATCAAGGCATTCCTGGAAAAAAGAAAGCCCATCTGGTCGCACAAGACTGACTGCCATTAAACGCTATTAATTAAAGAGAACTATTAGCATTAAGGTCGCCATTAGCCGTTCTGAGGTTCAGGGGGAAAATGGGTCGAGTTTGCATTGCATTGTGGTTATGTTTGAGAGACGAAATAGACGCCATCATTGGGGATTCACAGTAAACATTTCTAAGGGACTCTAGCCCTCCCTCGTTTCATTCATTAAGAATTTTATGACGCTCCTATTGAATCAACAATGAAAAGCTTTCGTCAGAATAAAAAGGCTCGGCCTGCCAAAAAAGTTAATTTTTTTACTGATGACCTTCCCTTTTGAAGCACCAGTCATCCCCCCACCCCCACCCCCTAATAAAACACGTACCTTCCCTTAGACTAGCAAAAAAACACCTGTTCTCAAAAARGAAAAACGAATCGTTGCGATTGGTTAAAAAGGTGCAATGGAAAGGAATTTGTATTATTTTGAAAAAATCACTGTACACCGTGACGGTCTACAATTAAGAAATAAATACCAGCTGTCTGCTAGCTATACGATTATAGTTATATTATTATTATCATTATCATTATCATTATCATCATCATTATCATCATCATCATCATCATTATTATTATTATTATTATTTGAATGCCATAGAATATCCTGCGAGGTGTCGTAGTTGCTTCCACGACACACTGGCAAATTATCACAAAAGATTCGGTTTTTCTTGATTTATTAGCTCTTGATTATAGTACTCACTGCTCTCTCACTCCGCTATAAACTCCTCACGAAAACTCACCACACCCCTAAGCGCTGGGTTCATATTACACGATCAAATGTATTGTGATTACATAATCATTGATTTTTCAACAGATGTACTTGAATTCCAGAATATCAAAACTCGCCTACATGCTACTATCAAATACACATTAGCGCCGAACTTACAACGTCTTTATCAATGGTATGAGAGAAAGTGCCGTGATATATTTGTCGTCTCATGACCTTGTCGTGTCGGACTCGAAAATTCTGATTGGATGAAAATTAACATCGCACTGTGTGATTGGTCAGCAGATATCGTCAAATCCGTACCGCCGTCAATGCGCCATACTCCGTAAGAGTATCAATATCATATGAAATATATGATCACGTCGTTAGTAGTGACTAAACCAGCAGCGAAAGTAGGGCTTACTTTATAAACTCTTGGTTAACGACGTCATGACAATTCTCTAATGGGAATGACAGCTAATGGTTTTGGAACACTTGTAACGAGGACGTAGTTCTGAGGCATTTTTCTCATAAACGCTTTAAGATTTCATGAGAAAACGTTTTGCAATAAGCTTGTTTTAGCAACAACTTTACCTTGAAGCCAACAAGGTTATCTCACGTAGTTTCTGATCCCCTGGGTTAAGTGATTACGTCATAGTATCGAAGCACGATGGCGTAGATGGTGTGATTATACATAGATAATCTGACAGCGGTTGGACCCAACGTTTCGAGTTGTATCCCCTAATTGTCCTGATGCTTACCCAAGGAAGAAAGAAAAATAATTTTCTAGGTTGTTAAAAGCTTTATTGAATTTCAATTGATCACTGTACACGATGACAAAAGAAAGCCATGTCACTGATTCAAAAACTTTTAACAAACAAGTGAGCATTATTTTGTATATGTGATCAAAAGCATTGGTTAACAATTACTGAGCTATACTTAATCAAGTTTTATCAAGACTTA